GTGGGTACAAGAGAAGTCTATAGAGTAAGTGTGGAAAAGACTGTGAGTTGGGACAGTTTGATCCCAGTTGTTTGTAAGGCAAGAAGTACATGCTCCAAAAGGGAGGGCAGGCAAATGCTTTCTGAAACAAAAGGGAATTCTTTTTCTCTGGCAGAGCAGTAAATTCTGGAGGTCAATGTTACAGAAATCAGAAATTCAGAAGTGTTTTGAGCAAATGCACAGACCATAAAGGGAGCAAAACCAGCTGACAGCAGAACTGGCACTGGGACTTTGGTGAGAACTGTGGGAGCTCTTGAGAGGGAGGTGAAGATAAGGGATAGTAGGATGTAGTGATGTGTTCTGTTGCAGACTAACACTGTGGAAACACAGGGTCAGTTTCAAACCTTTTGGGGTTTTTTGTTTATACTGGTCTTCTTAGTTTAGGTTTGACACCTCCACAAACACTAAACATTGAGGTAAGTCTTTCTGTAGTCCTCATGTTACTCTATTAACTAGTTTGCAGGTGGAGGTGGATTTTGTTTGGGGTTTTGTTTAAGCATCATTCTCTTTTTAAGTGTTAGTGTTTATTGTGCAGATTCAACCCCTGACCGTGGCATTCTTCATTGCTGTTGAAAGTTAATGGGGGAAAAATTGCATTCCAAACATTTGAACCTGTAGTAGCCATGGCTGAACTTAGTTGATCTCTGGTGATCGGCTCAATTTAGTTACGATTTTTAGCCATTAGGCTGGGCCTGAATGATGGTGATTTGGTTGAGGCCAAATGTCTGTAGAAAATTGGCTGTTTGATAAGAGCCCTGTTATCAGAGGGGGATACTTTCTCATTTACATTTAGATGAGTATTGATTATTTATTTACTCAGAGAAGTGAGATTCGTTCCCAATCTTATCTCTCTCGTCTCTGCTTGTCAGCAGAAAGAGAGATAGAGCTCCTGACATCAGCCCAAGATAACAGCACTTTGTAGTGAAGATAAAAGTTGGAATGGGCCTTTTTCTAGTCTTGACTGAAAGGATAAGTTTTAAAAATTAGAACTGATGGGTCATGCTTTCAAAACCCCATTCTGAAGGCTTTGCAGCTTAAATGGCAACAGAATTGGTTTGTTGTTCTGTGGATGGCCATTCACCTTTGTAAGAGAGCTGCTTAATTTGATTATGCAGTGGGATTCTTCCGGGGGCACCTTTGTGTTGGCCTAGGAGGGCTGGGGATGTTGCACTGGGAGTTGTTTTGTTGTTTAATTCCTGATAAATCTTCCTCTTTTTGAAGAACAAGGAATACCTGCAGGCAGAATCTGTGGTGTGGATGGTTAAATGGGGATGTTAGCAGAAGGGACATGTGTTATGGAGGATCACCTCAAGGGGTGGATTGCCAGGCTGCAGGGGTGCCAAGCATGGCCTGGGAGCCAGCAGCTCTGCCTGTCCAAGTTAACCCCATTCTTCTGCAGCTGCTGGGCTGGCAGCACACCAGAACAACTCCAGAAGAGAAGAGTTGCTGTTGCTGGTTGTATTTGCAGTGTGTGATTCAGGCACTCGCTCCTGCCTGCAGGACACCTTACCAAGGATGAAGACAGCCACCAAGTCTGGTGGAGAAGAGACCTGGCTCTCATGCCCTACCAGGCCTTGAAGTGCCTCTGGGGCCCTCAGCAGGGCTTTGCTAGGTTTTGAACGATTTTCTGGCTCCTTTCAGGCTGCTGCCTTTGTTTGCTTTGTCCTTTCTGGATGCTCAAACACTTGTTTCTCCAGCCCTGCTTGCTCTCACCTAGCAACAGGTTCTCTCTCTCTTCAAGTATCTGTGACAGAATTACAGAGCTAGAATAGGGGTCAGTATTCATTAGCTTTGTCTTTGGGTGTTTTGCCCTGGTCACTTCCATTTTAATGTACTTGCTCCCAACTCAGTGGTGGAACATAATACACATGATTTACTCTCCCTTTGCTCAAGTGAGCAGGGCTGTGTGAGAGCCCTGGGCTGTGGCTCCAGCCCAATGCCTCTGGATGCAGAATGTGCTGGAGCTGCTGTCCCTGCTGTCGCCAGGAGCTCTGCCCAGGTCACAGGCCAGGGCTGCTCCCTGCCAGGGACTCAAAGGTTTATTTTACAACTGCTTGGAATGTTTGCATCAGATTACAGAAATCCATAAAATCCAGCTTTGGTTTTACCACTTTAAATTTTGTTGAAATTCCCAGAGCAGTATTCTGATATCCTGTTAGGAGACTGGTAAATTACCTCATATTTCTACTGCAATGACATCATTTGAACTTGTGAGAGAATTCTGGTAGTAAAACTGCTCCACAGAATCAGCCTAACATTTTTCATCTGTTGTGAAGTAGAGGTCATATAAATGTGTACAGATATTTAAAACACATTTTTTAAGAGTAGATATTCTCTAAAAATCCATTTACACTTTTTTTAAATGCATTTCTTAGTATTTTCTGTTTCAAAGGATTTATTCCTGTGGAAGGTTGCCTTGCTTTCTGGTCAGTAGCTCAGTTTCATTGCTTCATTAGCAGGCAGCTAATACAGACTTGACACAAACTGGATAAAACAATTTACCTGATCACAGAATTCTGAAGTTCTCCAGATAAAAATCATCCTTTGGCATGGGTGTGTGGGTGTTGGGGTTGGAATGGCCAATGGCTCTCCACAGGATGGTGGGAAGCTTGCTGAGCAGTGTGAGAGTTGTTTCCAAGGTGGGTGATGTTCTTTTGATGGGATCCAGTTGCTGGGATTGGATCCACACAGGGGGGTGATACACCACTGCCAAGCTCCTGTGTTTAGCCTTGTCCCCTCTTTGTTATGTGCATATGATGCTCTGATCATTTTAAGGCTTCGGTGACATTGGTGTCTGTCCTTATGCCCCATCCCTCTGTCTGGGAAGCACAGGGCAGATCCATCCCCATGCTGGAGAGAGCAGCATCCCAGGCAGCAGCTCCTACAGCACTGAGCAAGTGACAGAGAACTGTGTAAATGGAAATGATTTGCTGGGATTGGTGAAGTATTTGAGAGCACCTCCGAAGGGTCTTCTTACAAACAGGCAAAGCAAGTGTATTTTGCTGCCACTGATTCTGTTTTTAAAGCTCCACCAGTTTCTAAATACAAATTGATTTACCACTTTGATATTTGTTTCAGTTCAGTATATTTTGCTTCTGTCTAACAAGCCAGGCCTCTGTTTATTTAATTTACTTTAAATTTTTAATCACATTTCCAGTAGCTGGGAGAGAAGAAACGATGGTCTGTATGTGTTTGCCTTTTGTTGTCTGTGCTGGCAGGAGCCGTCTCTGCTGCTCCTCGAGCGCTGGTTGTTCTGTGAACACTTCAGCAGCCTCTCCTGCTGGGCCAGGGCAGCAGTTCTGCTTCCCCTAGGGCCTGCAAACAGCCCAGCTCCAGCTCTGCTCCAGTCACCAGGAATAAGGGTCTCCATTTTGTGGAGAAATAACGTTCCACTCCAGGAGCAGAACGCTCGGCTGGGGCCGAGTGGCGAGCACCTCACGTGGCTTCTGGGGAGACGAGATGAGCAGCAGTAATTGAAATTCTGCTGTAGTAAATTTAAAATTAATTGGCTAACAAATTCCATTTCTTAGGCATGCCATCTGAGGCTAAAATACTTAATTTTTTTATATGTTTTAAATATTTCATCATATGCTATCATAATTCAAAGTCAGGAAACATTCAGAAATATTTTAAGTACTGATAAAGAGGGAATAGATTTCATTATTTCAGTTCTAGTTATTTTGTTACATTAGGACCTGGTTAAAGGTGCTTTGCATCATGGATTTTTCTCAGGTGTCTGTTTAGTGTTATTTACTGGGTTACACAGAAATCATGCAGCTGGAATGTTGTGTGTGCTTCAGCCCTTGCGTGTGAGGGGTGCAGAGATCTGCTCCAGGGTGCAGTGGGAATGGGGTCCCCTCTACCCCCACCAGCTCTGCTTTGGAAGGGGCTTTTCTTTAGCCCAGGGTCTCACGGGTAGCTTGGCTCACCCAACTAACCCCTCTCAAGTCCTGGAGCTGACTTACAGGGGGTTCTCGTGGAATTGTGTTACTATGTTCTTTTTTAATTCCAGTTACAGCACACGGTTAAAGGATCTATTCAACCAAAAGATGTATTTTTGTAAGTGGTGTAATACTTGTAAAAACAATTTTTAAACACATTTTGTGTAGTTGAAAAACAGTTTTTTAAGTAGTGTGATCTTTCCTTGGCAGTTTGGTTTGAGGAGGAAGTTGGCACCTGAATCTCAAAGCTTTATAGTTACATGCAATGTATGTAAAAATAATTCCTTTGAAGCAATAGCATCTGTGCGTGGTTGTGTTTGATGCGGTTCAGTGGTAGCAGTGTTCAGATCTTTGGGAAAATGTAAAATCCATCCCTTGCTGACTCCTCCTGCACCTTGCAGCTGTTGAGCTGCTGGGCAATGCCGGGGCTGCAATAGCCTTCCCTGCCTGGCCGGGCTGTCCTGGGTGCCCACAGGGTGAGTGAGCCCATGCGTGGGAAGCAGGCACCAGTCCCCAGCTTCAGTTCCAGGTGGGCAGGGCCCCTTGCAAGGCAGGCAGGACAGCTCCATCCCTATCCAACAGCAGCTGGGAACAGTTCAGAGCAGCTGGTCTGGGCAGAACCAAGAGAACAAACACACTGGGCTTCTTCACATCAGGAGAGATGCCCAGATAACGCTATGTGGATACACACCAAGGCCTGAGTAGGTGTTTTGCAGGCGATAGCCCCACAGTACAGCAGGGACAGGGTGTCAGGACAGGCCCATCTGGTGTAGGAACAGCAGAACTGATGGGCAGGAGTTGGTCAGTAGTGTTGGGCAGCTGAAGGTGACTGGGATTTGTTGTTTCCTTGCACACCTTCCTCCACCTTGTGACAAGGCCCTTCCTTTTGGCAACAAGCTTTGAACCATGAACACCTGCCTGCCTTACCTCTAGGCTATGAGTAATCTCATGTTAGTTGAACATGATAAGCCATCACTTTGTTAGAAAACAGATGATTTTACAAGTTACTTTATGTTTCAGGTCCTCAGTATCGGCTGGAGAAGCAGAGTGAACCTAATGTCCCAGTAGATTTAGACTGTACCTTGGAGAGCCAGAGCACTTTGGAATTCTGCCTTGTCCGGGAGAACAGTATGTTTCCCCTTTTCACTTTTGCTCTTGTAAATTGCTTAAGCTCACATAAGTTATGTGTGTTGGAATACAAGCTGCACTGTCTGGGCAAGTAAGTTTTGATGCGACTTTCTTTCCTGAGGCTCTTCTCAGTAGTGCCAAAACAATATTCCAGAGGGAAATGATGGATTTCATACCTTCTAGTAAATAGTCTGCATCCTGTTTATCACTTCATGATTAATCTTTATCCGTTAAACTCTGCTCTGTGAAGTTATGGCCAACCCTGAAAAACACTGGAAATATGAAACTTTTTGCAGCCATTGCTTGGTGGATGAAGCAGTTGGTCTGCAAACTATTTGCCGTGTCAATATGGCTGTTACAGGCACTGGTTTTTTTTCTAATAGAATTTAAAGAAATTAACCATGCAGATGTAACTAGTGCAGTTTGATTCTTAAAGTGCTAGACAAATAATCTTCTCTCCAGTTATGCTCAAATATTTTAATTCTGTTACTGTTTTAATGGTCTTAATGTTATTTCCTAATTTATTTATTTACAAGGAACTATATGGAGCTTTAAAAAAAAAGACATTTGACACTGATTTGTGTTTATCCTCCATAGCATTTTGGTCCCTTCTTCATTCTTTCCAACAGTCATGCTCTCAGTTATATGGGGTTTTTTTGTTGTTTTAATTTACAGCTGTAAAAATGTTGATTGTACTAATGAGGAAACCAGTAGCATTCATGCTCTCAGCCAAGACCATGCTCAGCATGTTTTCTGCAAGCAATCACAGTTCAAGTAGCAGAAGAATTTTTTCTTTCTTTGCAAAGACAAGACCTCTCCCTTTATGCTGTTTGGCTATAGCATTTTGTAGTTTATCCTAGAATGACAGCAGAGCAGCCCCTCCTGATTGCAGAGGTGAGGAGCAGGCTCTGCTCCCGTTCAGCGAATAACAGAGGTGAGCTGTGGCTGCCGTGAGCTCACTGCTGGGATGTCAGTGCTGGAGCCCAGAGAAGCACTGACAGTTTTGGCTGCCCTTCTCCATACAGTGGGATTTGCTCCCAAAATATGTTCATTTCTTCATAAAATAGTTTTAAGAAACTATAGGAGAGAACATGGCAGAAGGTGGCAAGGGTGCATGAGGAAATACAGCTTTTCTAAACCTGCTAATCCAGTTGCACTCTTCCACAAGCCAGAATTCCCCAATGTCTGCATCCTGATTATTATTTTTGTATCTATTTTTAATCTATGAAAGATTCATACTAGTAATACTTTCATAGGCTTGATTAAAAATAATATATTTTAATCCAGGCTCTGTAATTAAAAGCATATTGTATATACTGCATTTTTAATGTATTTTCATCGTCTGTGGAGGAATCCATGCTGTGACTTGGAGCTGTATCTGCTGGTGCTCTTAACTCTCACAAGGGACTAGGTTCAGGTTGCACCATTACTGTAATAGTAAATCTGTCACAAGTTTTTAAGTGCTTTAGCAGGAGGCATTCAGTCTACTCTGCATCAGTAGCAAATGCTCCAGGAGACCCTCAGAGGCCATGTCTCAAAATAAATGTCGTAGCCCTGAGGGAAGGCTTCCCTTTCCCTGAAGCCCTGGGCAGTGATGGCTTCTTGTCCCTCCTGGGCAAGGGGACACAAGAACAAGCTGCTCTGCAGAGCGGAATGGGGGAAGGAGCAGGATAGATCCCTGAGGCTGGTAAAAAGTGCACTCCATTAGTGAACTCTTCTGGCCCTCGTTAAGCAGATCCATGGTGCCCACCTAAGGCCATGACCCTACTAAGATGTGATTTCCTCGTGTTGCCTGGGGCTGTAACCCAAAGTCTCCCCAGACCTCCCGGTGCTGCCGCAGCCCTGTTGATAGGTGGTGGGTTTTGGTTTCCTTCAGGAGTCTTGCTCTTGTCAGCACCTGGAACACATAAAAGCAAAGGCAAAACAGACACTTGGACTCAGTAGAGTTCCAGAGCAAAGCACTGGGTTAGTTTGCTCAAGGCTGACAGTAATCTAGGCAAAATGCTAAATGCTTACATGAATTCTGTCTCTTTTCTGCTGTGCTGCTGCTAAATGTTTTCTGAATTGATTCTAAACTAGAATGAGGAAGGCAGGAGAAATCTGCTTATAGTTTGTCCCCCAAAATGTGGGTGAATTTGAAGTGATGTTCCATTGTCCCTGCTTGGGGATGTTTGTGAAACACGTGTGCCGAGATGCTCAAGGACAATTCAGTATATGAGATCAGTCATAATTCATGCATTGTACATAGCCTGGTTCCCCCAGTACACACTAAGAAATTGGATTTTGTAGTGCTTCAGGAGCTATCTTTTGGCACGGCATTAGAATAGAAATATTGACAGTTTTGCACTATTAATAAAACAAAAGCTTGAAAATCCTAACATCAAAATGAAATATTTATTTTGTACATTTTTGTTTTGTTTAAAATATTTTTAGCTTAGATGTGCCAGTCAGGAAAAACTCTGTTGCAACAGCCATTATTTTTAAATGTGCTCTTCATAGTCTCATATTAATTTATAAATATATATGTGTATGATGCCAAACATCTGCAAGTAAAATAGCTGCCAGTTTCCTTTGGGCAAATAGTAAGTTTATATTTCAAGCGATTAAATGAAACAGAAAACCTTCCATTATTAAGAAATACATATGGAGAAAACCCCTATCTATCTATCTAACATTTACTAATAGCATTCAAACTAATAAACTGTTTCCAGTATGCAGAACTTTTTAACTCGCATGAAGATTTATCTTTAAACTAAAAGCCTGCACTTTGTAATGTGAAATGCTTTTATGTGTAGTAGCAAAGTATTCATGGCTAATTTAGTTTTATTCTTACCGTCTTAGTTCTGGAAAGTTCCTCTTTCTCATTTTATCATTAGATAGTAATTAGTATTCAAGGGAAATTGGTCTTAATATATTAAAATTGGTTTAGTGCCTTTAAACCTGTACCAAAGCAATGTCTTATTGGAAAATGTAATTGGGGACTCTGTGTATGTAATTAATTGTATTACAATTAAGAACCTTCATTAAGCAATATACTAGTACATTAAAGTAATAAGTGACATTTTTGCAAAGCAGTTAACTTTGTATTTTGTTGTTTTATTGAGGAAATACAGGTTCACTTGCTCTTAAGTAGGCTACATACGGCATTTCAATATTCTGATATTACTAATATGTCATTTTTATATGTCCTGTAGTGCTTACAGGAATCCCTGTTGGATAAGGCTCCTTGGTTTAGCTTCTAACTTATTTTCAGACTTGTGCTTCCAGTGTCTGTTGCTTCATTATTGTTTGTCTCATTTGAAAATTAGGATTTTCTATGAGGAGATTGGACTGAGTTAACTCTGTATTTCACAGTAGTTCAAGTACATAAACAAAAACACTACCTCTGTACTGAACCTGGTTTAAAAAACAAACAAAAAGCAAAGCAAAAGACCCAGCAGCAGAGTGAAGATCTTCAGCTGTTTTTTCTAGATTGTCAGTTTTCTGGTGACCATCAAATGCAAAAACTGCAAACCAGTGCCATGGCTGCCTTCTGAGGCACTGTAGTGCTTCACCACAGGAGCTACCCTAAAGAGGAGAACTATGTAGCTCTTGATACCATTTTTGCTTTTTTATTCAGCTTCTGCAGGCAGAAAACACCACTCTTTTTTTTTTTTTATGTAAAAGGCTGTGGTGTAACAGTCTGTATGGTTTGGCCACCTGAGCGATCTGAGCAGAGGTGGAGAGAGCTCTGGGGTGGCGAGGCAGAGGCACACTCTTCCTCTCAGCTGTTCTTTTCCAGCACTGGATTTTCCTACCCTACTTCTCCAACACCTAAACCTCTATCCTGGGCCAAGGGAAATGCCTCCATCATAGCTGTGCTTTGCTCTTCAGGCAGGTTTTTATCTTGTGCCTGGTTTATCCCACACCTGTCTCCCGCTTTTTTAAATTTTTCCTTTCATGAAGTTAGTAATCTTTAGTTAGGTGGGTTATAAAGAAAATCTTCAGAGGTCATTGCAGACCAAGTCTCTGAGTCGTTATGTGAAGGAGCTTGTTTCTGGACAAGGAATCTGTTCCTCCGGGACGGGATCCCTGCCGGCAGAGCTGGGCCAGCTCTTGGGCTGAGTTACAAACCTGGAGCATCCACTTCACTCGATTGTCTTCCTGAGCAGAAGCTTTTACATTCAAAAGCCGCACCATGATCTCCATACCCTGGCAGGCCTGTAAATATTTGACAGGTTTATTCACAGCTGCTTGCATGTGGAAAATATTTTTATGCTTTTTCCCCCAATCAGCTGGTGGGGGCTGCTCTTCCCTGGCGCGGAGCTCGGGGGTCTCGCGGGCGGCCTCGCGCGCCGCTGGCTAACAGTGATATGCCAGGTTCTGCACTCAGGTTTTTCCCTGCAGGGCATTTCTCTCTGTTGTTACTGATATTGCTGCTATTATCCAGTGCCCCTCAGGGGTTCGCGTGTCTTGCCGTCTTCAGACAGATGATCTGTTTTGATGGTGGAGTTCCTGGCTGCTCTCCCAAGAGCAGCAACTATAGAAATTCTGTAAACCTGAATCCATTCACAGAGCTTCATAAAACAAAGTCTGCAGAGGATAGGGATGCACGGAGGATCAGAGAGGCTTCCAGAGCAGCATCCCACCATTTGGCTGCTCTGGCAGCAGCTAATACTCCACTGACAAGGTGCTCACCATTTCAGTTATGGTCACACTTTTTGCCACTGGATATGATCTGGCAGGCACCTGATTTTCTTTCTAATACTTTTAATTTGGGTGTGTGAAATGCAAGAAGACTCAGCTTCATAACAGCCGTGTAAAGTCAGTGTGTTGTGTTCCCTGTGCTGGTAATTCAGTGTGGAGGGTGCATGGGGCAGAGGGGGCCGGGAGCACACGGGCAGCAGGACCGGCTGGGCCAGGCTTGGTCTTGTAGAGTCTTCCAAGGACGTTCTGCAGGAGATGCAGGAATGAGGTTGATGTGTTGCTGTTCTTCTTGACACTTCTGAACCTCGCTGCTGCCCGCTCAGCCTGTTGGTGCCCGCGCGCAGGGGCTCTGCCGCCCTGCTCTGCAGGGTGCTGCTCGGGGCGAGGGTCTCCTCACCCGCGGGGACGCGTGGCCTGGTGTGCACCCCCTCGGAAATGGCACCGAGGAGGCGGCTGCTCCGCATCCCGAGCGGGGCTTCTCGGCGCTGCGCTAACAACCCCAGCAGGTTTCCAGGGCTCGGGGCTGCCCTGCCGTGCCAGCAGTGCCTCCCTGCTCACTGGTGGGCAGGGGGATGCCCCGGTGTCACCATGTGGTGACACAGCTTGTGTCCCAGCAGGGCGGGCTGTGGTGGCATCTCCCTGTTTCCCGTCAGTGGAGGAGGGTCCCAGTTCCCTGGCAGCAGGGCGGCTGCCATCCTCCCGGGGCTGTCAGGCACTGCCATGCACAGTGTTTCCAGATGCTTTTAAGTGCACAAAAAAGTTTGACGTATCTCAGTGTGTCTTTGAAGTACTGCAGCGTGCAGGTTTGACATGATACATTATGATAATCCATAGTATAGAGACATTAACACAGGGGTCTTTGACAAAATACATTGTAATGTCTCTGAAGGAGCCATTACAATTTATCTTGTCATTCTGGAGCATGGAGCGGTTGCAGTGTTAAGAAGGCTCTGCATAAATTCACATGTAGACTATTTCATTTGATTTCCTGGACTCTTTAAAGTCAGATGGCACAGCCCAATTGCGGTGTTAACCCCTCGCTGTCCCCTCTGTCCCCAGCCCTGTGCTCAGGGGCTGTTGGGCATCTCCCTCGCCTGCTCTCCTGTGGGAAGGGTGGGAGGTGTGGGTGACTAATGTCTATGAAATTGAAACCTTCTTTATGCTCTCAACATGTATTTGCACTTATTCAACAGCACCTCCTACCCTACTATGATATAGACATGAAAGATACTCATCAGAAGCAGTGGCATTTGTTACTTAGCAGATAGCAAAGGGAACATCTTCAGCCAGGAGGAAAGTGTCCCTGTGCTCGGGGGGTGTTTCTTCCCTCTCGCCTCCATTTGTCCCGCCTGTGGCCACCACCCCAGTGATTTCCCTCACTGAAGTGAATGGCATGTCCTCCTGCAGCTCTGAACTACTTTGTAAGAGGAGCCTGGTCGTGCCTCCACAGTGTCTGAGATGGGGGCCGGTGCTTTCCTCCCCTGGGAGCTGTGGCCTTTCCTGACAAACCGTCCCCTTGTTGGCACAGCCCACACATGGAGACTCACTGTAGCTTCCCTGTGAGCTGCAATCCCCAAATGTGACGGGAATGTGCATCCCCTGCTCCAACCCTGCAAGTCTTGAACAAAATTAATACCAAAAAAAAAATCTGACAAGTTTGTAGCCTGCTTTGCTGGATCTTTAAGACCTGTACTAAAACTCCGTCGTCTCCTCTTCCCATTATTAAAGTTTCAGCAAAATACAAAGTTTTCATTAATCTCCTGCAGCAAATTTAGTGCTCTGGACTGGCAGTTGATGCAGCTTTTAGGACCACATTAGCTGAGATATTAAACAAAGCAAGTCAGTCTTCAATATCTTCTGTAAGAAGCTAAATCAGTTTTCAAACATATTTATACCACTTTATCTAACGGCATCTGTATGATCATTTAGAGCTGAGATGCTTTATTAGCAGCTGGCACAGAAATTACTCTGTGAAAAATTATATATCGCATTATAGTAATGTTTAAATTGGTGTTAATCCAACGTCATAAAATGTAAAAAATCTTTAAAGTGTGTTATATTTTTTCAGTAATTGGCATTTTGGTTTAATGAGATGTTACCTTTTATAAAGCTGGTACCTGCAGTGGTAATGAGAATACTAATCAGTAAATAAAGTGCAGCTTCGTCACCACAGGGCGGTGGGCAGAGTGCCCCAGGTGTTGCCAGTGTCACAGCCCCTGGGGGATGCTGAGATCTGAGCTAGTGCAGGTGTCGAGGGCAGCACCTGTCTGGGGTCCCGCTGGCATCCCCCTCCCCTGGGCACAGGCTGAGGGTGTTCCACAGGATCCTACCTACTCCCCCAGGGGTGTCTGTGCTCCAGGGCTGTCCATGGCACGTGGACACCTGCCCTGGGACGTTCCACTGCTCCTCCTGTGGGATGCAAACGTGTATCCTAACTTCCTTCACCAGTAGTGATGGTGTCCCTGGGGGGAGGGTGAGGATTTCCTCCTCCCAGAGGGGTGGCCCTGGGCTCTCCCAGAGGCGCTGCAGCCACGGGCAGCCCAGCCCACCAACACCACCATGTGCCGCAGCCTGACCCTCCGCTCATCATTGTTGGCTTGTTTTGCAGGTTCACGAGGAGAGGAGATCTCGGAGGAGGACCCTCAGATCGATATAGCTACAGTTCAGGACATGCTCAGTAGCCACCATTACAAGTCCTTCAAAGTCAGCATGATCCATAGGCTTCGATTCACCACTGATGTTCAGTTAGGTAAATCAATCCGTACTGTAACACTGCGGAAAATGGAATGGTTCCAACCTTTGGCCATCTCTGACACCTAGCTGTCCATCTCGGGCATCTCTAAAGCAGTTATCACGTTGGTCTGTTTTATCATATAGCACATCACTTGAAAGTGTTGCTAGCATTTCAGCAGTTAAAAAAATTGCTTTTGGTTGAAAATGCTTTGGTATTTTTATTATCCACAATCAGCTAGCACATGTTTCTTCTGAAAGAAGGCCATTATTTAATGACCTCATATCTGTTTTTTCAATCTAGGCTTCCTAATGGAAAGCTTCTTGCCAACTGTTTTATTATTTTTAAGTGAGGCTGTGCAAAATCAGGAATGATTAAGTTTTTCCTTTTCTAAGACGGAAAGATTTTAATGACCAAGTGGAAATTTGACATGGAACAAAATAAAACTAGCATTCTCTAAAGGTTTTATATTGTCCTTATTAGCTTTCTGAATGCTTTTGGAAATCTGAAGGCCAAGGGATGACAGAATCTTGAATTATAAAAGCTCCCATTACTGTTTTAAAATGATTGAATGGCTTTTTATCTTTGTGTTTAAATTGTGAAAATTTGACTAATGATGCATTGGTAGGTGACCTGTGACATTCCTGCAAATACCTTCCATAAAGAAATGATTCAGCAGTAAAATATTAAGTGCCCTAATGTTTACAAAATTAATTTATTCTGCACAATTCAGTAGAATTCTCAAATCTAAACTATACTAATTCCTGTATTGTCACTTCAGTCTCTTCTTCTGTCCTTAAGCACATGCAGAAGTCCATGTCACTAACATTTTTGCAGAAGAGGCTTTTGTCATTTATTTTGAACTGTCTTGTTAAGGAAGGATTTATCTCCTGGTGCTGAAGCAGGCCAGTGCTGGGCACATTTTCTGCTTTTGAGCAAACTATCTGGGTGTGATAGTTTGCTTCCAGTGAAGTTTGACTCACTATCTGGGAAGTGTCAGAAATGAGGGCTTGAAAAGGTCATGACAGATCACTAAAGATAAATGGTTAAGGGAGAATAGCTGTTAAATGAAACAAATGGCTTAACTTGTGTAGCAGGGAAGGAGCTGACCCTGTCCAGTAGCATAAGGACCATAAAATTTCCCTTTTATAACAATCTGTGAACTTGTATACTTTGATGGCACCACACTGACAATGTGATTTTTATAATCTATTAATTTTTTTTAAATCAAAGAAAACCCCAGTGGGGTATTCCATGTTTGGGCAACTATACAGGATCAAACCTTTAAATAAAGTAAGCATTGCTGGGGTTTCTCCTGGTTTGTTTTTTTTCAGATATTAAAAGAGCAGTGCTGGTAAAATAAGCACTGAGGTGCTGTTTGGCTGCCGAGTGCTAATGTGTTCATCCTCTGCGAGTGACAGGCTGCTCCTCACAGTCTGAAATGGAAAAAAAGATGGCTAATTGTTTTTCTCTGCTCATCAGTAGCTGTGGGTGGGAGCTACTCCGTGTCAGTTGAGTGATGGCCAGTTGCAAAGATTTTCTCTGTAGCATTTCAGTGTCACCAGGTCTGTGTAGCAGCCACAGCAGAGAGAGAGTTTTTCTAGAAGATGTCAGGAATCCACAATCATTCCGTTGCTGCTCCTTCACAGTATTGAGCTGTTTGTGAATTATCGTGTTCATACTGGTACTTTTTGAATATTTCAGCTTTTTGGGGGCCTGATCTTTGAACCTGAGCCAAGGTTTTCTGAAAACGTTGGAGTAATCTCAACCTTCTGTACATTGTGCATAGTTTTTCTATAGTAAAAAGTGACAATAAGTGACCATGGGAGGAAGAGCCACCTTCAAGTGATGGTTTTATGGCAGTGAAAGCTTTAGCCACAGCACTTGAAGGTCTGGGGGGTGTTTTAGCTCACGTGACAGTGTAATGCACATACCCTGGTGCTCTCAACATTTTTACAAAGATTCTATCATGTTGTGAGGGAATAAGACACATTTGCTTGTGTATCACATTAGCAAAACTAAAAGCAGCATACTGTCTTGGAAAATGAGTGCTGGCAAGTATTTCAGAAAAGGGGGGGCAGCTGCAGACCCCAGCAAAGAAAGCAAGAAGAGAACAGTTTTACTGGACTAACACACCCATGACATTTCTCTTGAGAAAGTGAATTGATTAAGCAAATAGTAGAAGAAGCATATTTACTTGTTTTTTTGAGTATGACTAATCTGTGCTGCAATACAGCAACTGCAGAAGCCACCTGCATAATACTGTTTTGATTTTAGGTTTCAACACTCAGATTGTGAGAACAATAACACAAAAAAGACAACATTCTTTGTCAGTGTGCTCTTTGGATGTGTGTGAGCTTGAGGCAGTGATGTCGAGATACAGAAATAATGGATGAAGTGTACAGCAACAATTTGCAGATAAAAATAATAGAAGTTAAAGTGTATTTTACATGATAAAAAAAGATGAAAGAGGAGGAAGTCTGTTACATCCAAGATGGTTACAAAATCCGTGCTTGGTGAAGTAGCCTCTGCTGAAAAGATTGATGCAATGGGGAGTGACCTTGGCTTGGAGCAGGAGCTGGTGATGTATGTATGAGCATCTCTCTGCTAAATGGACCCAGATTTGTAGCACTAATATACATGGAAGCCCAGAACCAAACTCAGGATGGCAATAAATCAACAGCCACTTTGGGTGTCATTTCTGGTTTATATTCCACTATTGTTCTATCACTTTAATTCATGTCACTATCATCTGTTCATCTGGAACAGTTTTATATAATTTTCCAGTGGAGTTACCTGACAAATCCTATCAAATTAACAAGGTGCATTAACAGTATTGACTGACTGTGAATTCTGAAGTTGCAGGACCATACAGTGAAAATTTTTAAAGGATATTTTGGGGTGATGTTTTCAGAGGGAGGGATGGGAAACAACTCTGGCACACAAAGAATTTGCACCTTTATTTTTAGAACTTGCCTTTACTTTTTTCAGTGAGTAAAAAAGAACTTGTACCATCAACTTTGCACGTTCTCCTTAAACTACGGAAAATGCCATTTTGAATAATTAACAATTACAGTGAAATAACAATGCTGATTTTAAATAATCTGTCCAAAATTAAATTACAAAACAAAATGGGCTCCAGATACAGCATCAGCCAGCTCCAATTACCTAGTTCTAGCAGTCCTTGTGTTAATTGGACTCTTGATACAATGTTAATTGAAATGTGATCTCTCTGAAGCGACTATGTTTAATGACAAAGTGCATTCTTGGATTAATAGCAGGGGGAGGGTGTCCGTGGTGTTATTGTAACCTCTCCTACCAGGGGCTGTGGTGAAGGTGACCTTGTGTCAGTGGGCAGGGCTGCAGGCAGCTGCCTGCTGTGGGTGTCTGCATGCTTGGGGTTTAGAGTTGTGGAAAAATACCAACTAGCACGGTTTGCAAATTCTGCAGCTCTGACCAGACTTTTAAGAAATATTAAGTTAATTTTGGAGAGCTTGGAAGAGTGGCATCTTACTTTTATTGTGTCATCTCTCTTAAAAGTTTTATCATCAGCTGCTTTAGCTTTGATTGTGCTTCAGGTGAGCCAGGCATAATGTGTTGGAAAGTGTCACAGCCAGAACCTCCAAGAGGGAAGAGGTTATCTCTGCTGTTTTTCCAGAGATGCAGGAGTTAAATGGTGTTTAAATACTTTTTTCCTCCATTGCTTCCTTTTGTCACTTTCTCATGAGCCTCACCTATAATTCATGGCTGAAGAAATGCGATTATTTGGAAGGGTCCGCACAACTTGGTGTGAAGTTTGTTCAGTCTCATCAGCAGCGCCTGAAGGAGGAGCTGCTGGCGGGAGCAGCGTGGGGCTCTGCGCCCTGTGGGCGCGGGAGGGACAGCCGGTGTCCCGGGCTGTGCTGCCCGTGCTGCCCTCACCGCTTCGGGAGGAGCCAGGGGAGGGGCACAAGGGGGTTTTCGGCTCCATCTCCCCGCAGCTCTGCCGGGGATCAGTGCGGGGCAGCGCCGCGCCCAGCCGGGCTCTGGGGAGTGGGGCCGGGGCTGCAGGGATCCGCAGCCTGCTCCCGAAGTGCCTCATTAGAGCTGGCGTGAAAATGCCAGCAGTGTGAAAGCACCCGGGGTCTCTGGGACTGGAGGTCTTTGTTCATGAGCACTGGTAACACAAAGAGCGGGTCTGTGGTGCGGGTGGGTGTTGTCCCTCCAGCAGCGCTGCGGGGGGCAGAGCAGGAGCCCTGCCTGCTGGTGTCTGCCACATGCAGTAGTGGGGACTGAAAGATATCTTTTTATAAATCTTGCAGCTTATGTAGCTGTGGCTTCCAGAAGAGCTCTGTATGTGTTGAGAAGATTTTTTTCTGTGATATTTCTTCCTTGTTGGTGTACTTACTCAGGAGAACAAAATGCAGATTATCAATGCAGTTTGATAACCATTTGCTTTTGGTTTCAAAAGCTCCTGTGCTTTCAGAAAGCCCAAAAGGACAATATACCTTCATCCCATTTAAGATTTATAAAGTGTGTCAAATGGCTGATATGAAATCACTTAAACAGATCACTGTTGTGGCTCTCTATTCTTTCTCATCTCAGGTATTTCTGGAGACAAGGTAGAGATAGACCCTGTTACTAATCAGAAGGCCAGCACTAAGTTTTGGATTAAACAGAAACCCATTTCAATCGATTCTGAACTCCTCTGTGCCTGTGACCTTGCAGAAGAAAAAAGCCCAAGTGAGTAGTCCTTTTTATTTATGTTCTCTGTTCTCTCCCTTCCTGTATGTGCTAAATGTCCAAAGAGTTATTACTGCCATGTCCTTTTCTTTCTGTAGGTGTATTTTATTCATTATAGGATGTTTTTAATCTGACTCAATTCTGCTACAGAGAACACAACATAAACAGATACACATTTTACTTACGAGTGTCCTTTTAAATGCTGCTCACAGCTAATGGCACCACGAGGGTGTTTCTTGCCCACTGCCAGGAGCTGCTAACGGCCTCGTGCCGCAGGAGCGCCGGCCGTGCCTGGCTGCTCTCTGGCCCCAAACCACAGCAGTCAAATACGTTTCAACATCCTTGCAATTTTAACTTCTTAACATCCAGACTGGGTTAAAATGATTTCTTAGGTACAATTGAGGATCTTGAACATACAGTAAGTATCAGCACAGTCTAAATTCTCTTCAGCCCTGGGGTCACTGGGATGGCGATAAGGCAAGCTCAGGGCAGTGTGGTGGCCATGGACCCCCAGGCCAGCCAGGCACCCACTGGCAAGGGGTCACAGTCTGGGATGTTCAGAGTGCCCCTTCAAAAGCCCAGTGCTTTTGCTTGTTGCATCAATGGAATAATGAGAGTCTGTGTCTGTACAATTTATTTTAAGAAGCAGAGGATGGGCCCTGGGGAGTTGGCCAATGTCTCCCAGTGGTGCCCAAATGTAACCATCACTATCAAAAAGTAACTGTGGTTCAAAAGCTCAGATGGATTTTATGACACTTGTGATTTTGCAGGGTAGGGATGCTAAGTATTAAGTACTTATCTGCAAGGTGACAGAGAGGGAGAATTATGTGATACATATTTACAGAGGTAATGATCTGTTGAATTCTCTTGGAAGAGTAAATTTATGGCTGCCACAGATTTTATCAGCAATTATTGAACTATATCCTTCTCCCCTTCATTACCCCTTCCTACGTCCATGTTCTTAGTCCAGTCATTGTCTTCCTTTTCTGTCTCTCCAGCAAGATTTCATGGTCTTTGGGAAGGCATGATCCCAAGGAGGAGACGTCCCTAATGACCCAGCAGTCTAAAACTGTTGTCTCTGTAGTTGAGGTGCACTTTTGTGCTTGTACATCTATAAACACCTTTGGTTTTGTAGTCACATTTCATTTCAAATGCAGAGACTTGTGGTGCTAAAATTGTGCCCAAAAATGAGTCTGTGTCTGACACCTGAGGTTTCCAGTTCACTCTCCCATCAACACAACAGTCTGAGACCTTTGAGCTGTCCCCAAACACCTCCAGAGCTGTGTCCTGCCAGGGATGGGGCTCTTCAGCCCCAGGGGCACCACTTGCTGATTTAGGAAATGGTGCAGGGACACAAGTCCTGCCAACCTTGGGAGAAATAAGGGGCAGAATTTCAACCCCCAAATGGAGTCTAGTGGCAGAAGGGCAGTACCTTCATGTGGAGACCATTGAGTGAAGGATTGTGGTCACTTTGGAGAGGATGCTGGCAGGTTACATCAAAGGCAACCTTTGTGATAACAAGGTTTCTTATTTACTCATTTTTACATGGTCATCAAAAACTTCCTATTAAATAAGTGTTGAGCATAGTTCCAAAACAAGAAAATAATTCCCCCTGAAATCTGCTGTCTTCTTCCTGATTCACTAAGGATGTTCCAAAAGTCGTTATTTTTGGCCAGTAGAAGAGACTTCTAGTGTGACATCTCAGAATGATACATTTTGGGGAACTCTTAACAGCAGATCAGTATCTCTTGAATTTTAAATGGAAAAAAAGTTATTTTAGTAGCATAAAGGAATGAAACTCACTGTATTTCACAAGTTTTGTCTGTGATTTTTATCAGTATGTTGATAGATGTTTGTAGCAGAGTTTACATCAAAAATTATTCCTGGATCTTGCTTGAATGAATTATTGCAAAGAAAGGGAGGCTGAGTAAAGATAAGGTCTTTTGAATTCTGCAGTATATTTTGTTTTCATGTTTTTATCTCTTGTAACACAAACATGCTCCATCTCGTCTCTCAGGAGCGTTCTGCACATGGAACAGGGGCTGGAAACACGGGGGTTGCTGCTGCCTGGCCTGGGACGGAGCGAGTGCTGCTCTGCCAGGGAGACACTTGTGCCTCTGCAGAGCGCAAAGGGGTCACAGGGGCCTCCCAGTGTGACCTTTGGTTTTGGCAAGGGGTGTTGGGAGGGGAACGTGGTCACTGTGATCAGTGTAGCTGGAGGTTTCTGCAACAATTGTTCCTCTGAACCTGCGATTAACACAGTGTAATAAGCAGTGAGCTCTTAATTGCTGCAGATTAAGGAGATTTCAGAGTTTTTACTGGTTCCTTTCTGCAGAAATGTAACAACAGAAATTATGTATCAGTGTAGTGGAGAGTCTGGTGTTTATTTGCTGTGAGTTTTCTCTGAAAAGGCAGAGTAATGCAGTGAAGCTTTAGTGGCACTTGTGTGAGTGTTAAAGGACTCAACAACTCCAGAGGCGACGTGTTGTGAATATTTACAGAGAGACTCAGAGTCGTTCCGGAAGGGGCTGAATCTTCCCTGTGCTCTGAGTTCTCAGGACTCACAGTTCGGTGAAGACAGAACATGAAAACAGAAAGCTTTGGCATCTAATTTGCCACTAATGTGGGCACTGTGGGCAGGAATGGCTGATGATTATTGTTTGCCCTTGTCGTAGACCTGGGTCAGCATTTGAATTTTTTTTTGTAAATTAGATCAGACTCCCTGAATTTAAGCAGAGGGAAGAGGTAATGGCCCCGCTCGATCAAATGCCATTAGAACCTGAAAACTCTGTATGTAAACGGCTTGTTTAAATCAGGTTCAGTCTGATTATCACGAGAGATTCTGAATGTTTTGAGTCTTGAAAGGAAGCATCCCATCATTGAGAAATAAGATTTAAGCCTTAATAAAGTAGTTGTCATTTTTATAGCTGAAAAAAGCTTTGTATCTCAATTAAGTGTACATAATATAAAGTCTTAAGGAAGCAACATAATACATTTAATGCAATTATATCCCTTTGCAATAGTGTAATTTAAAGGAAATCTGATTCTGTTAATGTCTCTTACATTACTTGGACAAGGGAGAAACTTCAGTGTCACAGCCTTTGTACAAAGTGCCCAGTGGAGCAGCAGTGGCTGTGAGGGATGCAGCGAGGCCATCCTGGAGCCAGGGCTGGACTGCTCGGGGCACGGAGCCTCCTCAGGCTGAATCCTGGGGCTCTGCCCTTCATGGGTGTTTTATCATAGCTGCAGAAGTCCGATTTAGTTGATAAATTACTTAAAACACTGAAGAAGCATTTTCTGTGATCCTTTTCCTGCTTTTTTTTTGTTTGTGTGTTTTAATAAAGCAGATACATCTCAGTTGCTAGGTCAAAATATCCTTAATATTAAGGTAGTCTAAACAAAGGTCTTCTGTAGGTCACAGAGTACCTTGGTAACTTCAGTTTGTAATTTAATTGCCTGCTTTGCACCCTGCAGCTTAAGATTTCCTTTAAATTCTTATTCCATTGTTGCACTGGGGCTTAACAGAGTGTTAACCTGGTAATAGGCACAGGGCCTCCCCATTATATGTCTCGCTATCGAGCGGTTCTGCATGACTAGTTAAAAAAGATGGCAAGAAGATTAATGAAAGCCGCCTAGTACAGAGGGGGGTAGGTACCTTTGCAAGACTTCTAGTGAGGAGATATTAGAGCTGAACCAGAGCTTGGCTTTTTCTTTATCCCGTGACCTTTGAACCTGCCTTACTGTCGAGAGCTGCCAGCAGAGCCGACGTTTTGATTGATGTTGCTACACGAGTCAGTCTTTCCCATTGAATTCCACATCTGCACGAAAATAGCTTTTCTAGCAGTATTCATACTGGCTGTAAGTGATAGCCAAAGTGATGCCTGAAATGCTTTTATGTAGTTTTCATTTAAAGCTAAAGCTACTTGATGTTTTAATTCAGTATACGGTTCCTCCAGATTATGCATGTTGGGTAATACTAAATTAATGAATTCATTATTGAGTTGTGAAAGGCCTAAAAACATACAGGAAGCTTTGGGAATGGATGGACTCCTGCTGCACGGGGAGCTTAAATAGAGATGTTGCACGTTTGCTCAGAGCCCTGCAGAGGAGCCAGAGCAGAGAGGCAACAATTATCCGTGTGCTTTGCAAATGGTGCACAAAATATTGTGTGGTTATTCCTAATATTCCTGCTCTTGCTGTGAATAATGTGGTGTGTGAAACAATGTAAGAACATTGGTACTTGATAGGAGACTGAGAGCAGATTCCTGCC